TACCTCGCTCGGCAAAACAATCTCGTTAGAATAATCGTACAAGCGACACAAGCACATAAGGAAACGATCGCAGCTCAATATGTAGCTGATACTTGATATCACGAACATCACATCCGCTCTTTATTTGTCACTTCGTATCTTCGTCCCTCGTTATTCCTTTTCTGTAACATTATCTTTTTTTTGAAACGAAACGTTACATGATTCATAGTTCTGATAAGAGCAAACCAAACAAGCTCGAATATTTTTAAAAATATTTTTATCTTTACGCACGTTCTTCAGATAAAACACATTGTAGAAAAAAATCGAAGGCACGCGAGTTTTGTTCTGTACTTCAAGAGGCTCGAGTCGTCACGAGAGTGTGACGAGAAAAAAAAAGTTAAAAGAACAAAAAGAGAGATAGAGAAAGAGATAAATTTATTTATCATGGGGTGAGAAGAAGCCCTTTCTGATACGCAGGGATAATAAATAAATGGCTTAGAAACGCTGAGAGCGGACATACGAAATTATATAAAAAGTATAAGAGATAGAAAGAGAAAGAGAAAACATGAATAAATAAGTATTAGGTATGTTACGCGGTAATTCCACTGCGTTTGGATAGCGCGCGCCCAAGTTAGCCGCTAGCTCGTTCTAATCCAACCTAACCTACTAGCCTAACCGGCGAAAAGACGAAGACGAAGAAGAAGTTGGCTCACCTATCTGGCGGCTCTCCGCGTTCGTTGTGGGGAAAAGAAGGGCAGGCGGGTTAGCCAGAGAGCACAGGGCAAGGGAGGGTTAGAGCAAGAGGGTAAGAGAGAAGCGCGCGCGCGCGCACACACTAAGGAGACCTTGAAGGCTGCTGGCCGGGTGCCCAGGTCTAGTGCTGACCCACTATAAAGGCACTTGCCGTCCTGCTCGTTCATCAGGACGAACCGCTAGCACCCTCTCCCTCGAGGGAGAGGAGCGCCTGCTAACCTACTACTCTCCTGCCCGCGCTCTCTTCGCGCATATATACATACACCGGCTCTCTCGACTCGACTCCGAAACCCGCTTCCAGACCCCGGACCACCGCGCGCTTAGAGCTCTCTCCCGAAACGAGGGCCCTACCGCCATCTCGCTCCCTCTCTCGCTCTTTTCTCTTTCTCTCGTTTCTTCTTTCGCTCTCTCGTCGTCTCGCGTATCCCCCGTGCTCTCGCTCGCTGCCTTCAGTCGATCTCGTTTTCACTCCCTCTTTTGTAGCCCCCCTCTTTCCCTCCCTCTTTCCGTCCCGCTTCATCCCCCCACCCTTTTTAGCCCTTCTCTGCCCTTCTCCGAATATCCTCGTCTGCCCTCTTCACGTCGTCACTACCACGTGTAACTCGCCCCTTCTGTGTGGTGTGTTTCTTCTTCGTTCTCTCTCTTTTTCTCTTTCTCTCTCGCTCTCTCTTCAGCCGATGCTCTCTTTCGTCATCTCTTTTTTTCTCTCGCTTCCTTTCTTTCTCTTCTCTGTCATTCTCTTTCATCCACTCTTTCAACACACGCGCCGAGAAGAGAGAGAGAAAGAGAGAGAGAGAGAGAGAGAGAGAGAGACGGGAAGAGAGGGTGTGAGTGTGTTTTGGAAGGAGTAGTACCATATCTAGCATAGCAACTGCTGTTTCTGCATTTCTTCGCAGCGCGCCCCATACGAGATGCCGTATATTTTAAGCGTATAACGGGTGTCCCACTGCCGAAACCGAGCGCCGGGGGATTTTCCCGGAAATTCGTCGACATTTGCGAACGGTTTCGTTCCCCGCGATTGCGTGCCACGGCAAAATGCCGCGTTATCGCTTTAATCAGGCGCCAGAGAAAATTGCAATTGTCTCAAATTAAAAGGTTTTAATAGAAAAATTCCACACAGTACGTAAGATGTACAGAAGGATAAATTATTGCATTTAAATTTATATTATTTACTTAAGAAAATTGTTATATTGCAATATATTAAAATTAACCGCGTGTGAAAATTCTATTTGAAAAACACTCTTTTCTCCTTCTTTTTGAAAGAAATTTATGCAAACCTTGCAACAAACTTTAAGCTCGTGAAAGTATCCAATTAGAAGATAGTTTAAGGTCAATGCGATGCCAATATGTGCGTGTAAATATATTTTTTTAACGTGTGTGAATTACACACACATGGAAATTCGAATCAATTTCAGTTTGAAAATTCAACTAAGATGCTTGGTTTGCATCTTAAATATATAAATATATTTCAAAAAATTATTATATATATTATTTTATGGTGTATAAAAAATATTATAAAATTATTTATTATATCTCTCCATAAAATTTAAAAAATTTTGCGAGAAGACACTTTGACCAGGGAGTCAAACCGTGGGACTTCGCGTGTAGTCGCCTTATCGATTTATAAACTCTTTATTTAGCAACAAATTTAATCCGTCTAACACACACACACACACACACACACACATTTTGTTCACATACCACGCAACATTTTCCATCGCACTCGTCGCGTGATATAACATTACCGTCAACATTATTCGTACGCGTTCCCCGTTGGTCAAATAAAAATTACCTACCCTCTTTCGTTTTATAGCTACAACGTTGTTGATGTTGTCATATTTTGGTAGACCGGAGCACCTTTCAAGGTGCCCTCGGTACTTCGGCCGAGAGAGAGTATGATGATGGCCGAAGTTAACCCCACCGGTGCAATCTCGACCTATCTTTACGGCACGTGAAATCGGGCGTAAAATGCGCGGCGTATTTAACGCGGCATAAGAATCGAATTAAAGCCTCGTCAGGATGTACCCCCGGCTCTCTTTCTCTCGCGCGCGCCTTCTCTCTTTCTCTCGCCTCCGAATTGGCTTTCGCATGAAACCTGTTGGCTACGCGGTCGAGCACACTCGTGCACACTAGGTACACTTACGAATATTATTACTACGAAGCAGCAGCTCTCTCTTGGGCGCGCGCGCGCGCGCGCAAAGGGGGCCAGACCTGACACGAGACATACTAAGTAGCCATTTAGATGCTTACTTCTTTTTCCTCCTGTTCCGTCTACTTTTCTTCGTCTCCCTTGTGGCGAATGACCGAGAAGAAGAGAGAGACACGCGTACGCGCCATTTTTCTGCTACCTCTCATTCTTCTTATTCCGTTTCATACTCTCGTATTTTTAATTCATTCGCATTCCCAAGCTCTACTAGGCTCTCTCTTCTCTCTCTCTCACTTTCTCGTCCCAGCTCGTACGTATGTAATTTTTTTTTTTTTATTATATCGAATGTAGCATCTAATAGACTCTCCACAGAGAGAAACGAGTTCGCCACTCGAGCCACGCCGTTGTGACTATGATAATAAAAATGTTGTCTTGTTCTCTCTCTCTCTCTCTTTCTCTCTCTTTGCAACAAGTCGATATATTTTATCGGTCTCATCGAGCGAATCATTTGAAACGGTTATAATTTACACTTTCGAATATTTGAAAATAAAAGAAAATTTTGAAATAAAAAAAAATACTATCTTGTTCTATCATTAGTTCTCTCGTCAAAAGATCTCACGAGTTGCGTTTATAAAACTCGCATCGAATCTTATGTAAATTGAAAATAATCCAAATAACAAATGTGTGTATTTAATGTACAAAAATAAAAAAATACAAATATTAAAATACATTAAATAATAATTTATATAAATTATATTAGTAACTGTGAAAGAGACTTGTTACAAAGCGGTGGCACAATTTTGACGGGCAATCGACTTGGGTAAAAAAAAAATTCAAGTGGGAGCAAACACGCGCGAATTTCAACGGATCCACTTAACGAGCGTCGCATCGAACGGCCATCGTGAATGCGGCGCGAGAATGATTCGCGAATCTATTCTTCTCTCGCGATATTCGCGCAGCGTGGAACCGGTCATGGGAAATTAGATGAGCTTGACCGGTAAACGACACCTGGCGCGTAGGAAACGAAAAGGAAATGTACTTGTGTGCCGTGTGTTACGTGTGCGCGTCCGCTTCTAATCTACCTCTGCCCCCTTCCCTTTTCTTCTCTTTTCAAAAATTTATTTCTCCTTCTCTCGAGCTTCGAAATGTCCGGCAGTTCACATAACCTTTTGATCCTGATTAGAATATGAGTGAGGTGTAGCCTCTCTCTGGTGATAGCTTTTAGCGTTGGATTGATGCGCGATCTCTGCGCGCGCGCACACACGTGCACATCCCGGAAGCAACCGCGCGGAACCGACCGCCGTGTGTTTTTCCATGAGAAAACTCTCTCCCGTATCTCTCACTCCACATCGGGATCTCCGGGGTCAGAGGTCGTGGTAGCCGCGGCTCAAACAGGTTGCGCGCTGACTCGATAATCCAATTTCTGCCATTCATCCCGGGAGAAGCGCATGAGAAAATCCAGACAAATGCGTATCGTAACCCAGTCGCGTAACCTTCACGTGTTGACGTAGATAAGAATTGCGTGTTTGTTTAATTTTTCTCTTCTTCGCGCGCACAACGCAGACGATTCGGGAAATTTGGAAAATAAAAGAGAAATTATTCCATTCAACCGCGTAGAAGAAAATTAACAAGACCAGTGAAAGCCGCGAGCGAGTGCGAATTAACACACATCGTAATTCGAATTAAATTCAATTCGAAAATCTACATTTTAGATACGTGGGACTTGCATCTCGTAGAAACGATCTTCTCGTGAATCAAAAAAAAAAAACAAACAGAAAAATTATTATATTTAATTATTGTACTTTTTATTTTTTATATCTTTTCTTATTAGAGAGAAGAGTGTTGATGTAATTAATAAGATACACGCGGGAGATTGCTACCGCTGTCTTAGATACTCTCTCGCATTGTGCCGGAACAATGAGATAACCGTTAATTTTTCTCAGTTCGGCGCTCCTAGTATTTGAATAGCTGAAAGGACACCCTGTTACAAGGTCCGACCCGCAAGATTGGTAATCGTTCTATTTACTGGTCGCCGCCGTTGTGTGTTGTTACGCGCCCATGAATTTCGCGCGCCTGTTTAAAGACACATCTGGAAACCTGCTCTTTCTTTTTTTTGTTGCAGGATACACCTATCTCGGATCCTCGCTCGTTGTGGAACCGTCCGTGGCAAGCACGGCCAAGAAACGGTAAGTTTCAAAAAAGGACATTTCCTTGTGATGACGAAAGCACGGCTTCATAGCATGAACTTTAAAAACTGAAATACAAGCGGCCTTTAAAAAGAAAAAACAAGCACATTGTATCGATGTTTGTTTTCCGATAGATTACATTTGTTTACAAAACCGAATTGTTTGTAACAAGCTTGATTTCTTTTATACAAAGGCCACGTGTACGAAAATATCATTTCACGCGCACAATATCATTTCGATCTTTGTTTTTTTTCATATTTCACAAATATATTTGTTAAAACGTTTCTGTTTCGGATTTTTAATCTGAATCTTGGGTCTTTCTTGTCCTTTCGAAACTGTTTTCAAAAATCACGAGAAAAATGTTTTTTGTCAAATAAACAATAAAGCGTATCAGCAGTAGACACGTAAAAAAAGACGCCAGAATTTTTGCAAAACTCATTATTATTATTTTTTAAATCGAATAAAATGCGTCACGCAGACCCACGGTTTGATTTTCAACCGGTGCCGAAAAATCGGTTTATTCAATACTCACGAGTATTTGTCGGTCGCTGGTTACGCGCAACAACCATAAACCTTTCGACAGAATGCGCTTAATAAAAACAAGCGTTTAAAAACGCGCGCGCACGTGGTAATAGCGCTTTCGCTCGAATTAATAAAGTCGCTAAATCGTTACCGCTCGCTTAACTGATCGTCGTAATTCGCGCAGCATGCAGGAAGCATACCGTCTTGTGTGTGTGCGTGTGTGTGTAGCGAGACCGCGATCGGCATCGAGCATTAACGAAATTACTCAGCCGTTACATCTGGCGACTACTGGGCGTACTCGCTAATATGCGTGCCGATCGCGCGCATATCTTTTCTCTCACACGTTCCGCATTGAATTTTTCTTTCCTTCTCTCTTTCTCTTTCTTTCTCTCTCTCTCACACACACACACATACACACACTCGATGTCGCGCGCTCGATTGCGAGCGCACGCGGAACTTCAAAAAAAAAGTTCGTTAACCCGTGTGTTGCATGCATGCGAGATCGCAGGAGAGATCGGACCGCGCGCGTAATACCGCGCGCGTAACAAGGTGCGTAATTGGCCGCACGCGAGTAAATGCGCGAGCGCATGCAGAAGACTCTTTCGAACACTCTCGTGACCAAAACGTGCCCGGGCAAAAATCGTCGAGGATTAAATCGTCGCGGTTTGAAACTCTGAACTCGTCGCGTTTTTGCTTTTGAAACTACGATTCGTCGTGAGAACGACGAACGTTTCAATGGACCGGACAAGTGACCGGACATTTATCAAAGAATATTTATAACAAAGTATTTTTATATAAAGTTAGATATTAACAATTAAATATATTTTAGAGATTACATGAAACATTGAGAATTGTCGCAATTAATATTTACACACAATTATTTGTTTAATAAATGTCCGGTCATTTGTCTCGCGGTAACGCGGGTTTGGCAAAGTTTTGTTTTCGTAGACTTTTCACTTCGATTCAGAAGAGAGCGCACGGATTGAATAATTTAATATATTTGGTTTAAAAAACGCGCGGCGCTTTTACAGCGTCACGCTAGACAGCGTTGAGTGTGTTCGTGTTGTGTGTGTGTGTGTGTGTTGCATGGCGGATATTTGGTAAACTGCTATTTACATTGGCCATTGTTTCTCTTCACATGCTCTCACACGTTGGATCGACGGGGTACGTATTGTGTCACAGTATATATAACGAGACGTCGTCACACGCGCGATAACGAAGCGCCAAGCTGCGCGCGCGCGCGATATCATCGAGCGCAAATGCGATATCGTAAAACGACGAATTTCGTTGGCCGTAATAAATCACGCATTTTCGGAGGTTGCACGATAAAAAAAAAGAAATGCTCGTCTGACGAGTCAATACCCGGCCAGATAATCAGGCGCGCTCTGTTTATCTTGTAATATCTCTCGCGTGTACGTTACCTTGTTTCTTCGGTGTAAAAGAATACGCGTGATAAATTTCACGCGCAACGAAATTTGACACGACCGCAGTTTCGATAAACTGACGATAAAGCTTCAAGTGGATATTTTTATGACGGAAACGTCATACGTGACATAAAATTTATTAACCGGTTTTTTTCGTTACTCAATTATTCCGTTTGACATGTCTTCTTGAATTCCTGCTCGATTACGCCGCGTTGTGCGAGTATAGACGCGGACGCGCAATGTCCACGTGAACGTCCGAGGAGACTTTCGAAAACTGTGCGTAGAAATAATTTGCGAAGAAAAAAAACCGAAGGTCTTTTTCTCAATAAACAATGATGCGGTACCGGAAGGATTAACCCAAATAGTCGACGCGACGCGTTTTTGCGTAGCAAAGTTCGAGAGCCTCTCTCTCTCTCGCGCGCGCGCGCGCGCACAGAGGCCAGCCTCTTTCCTGACGGTGTGGCAGGCGCAATTCGACGAAAAAAAAAAATGTGGCACCTGCCTTCTGCTCGCGAGCTCCGAACCGAGAGAGAGAAAGAGAGAGAGAGAGAGTCCAGGCTGCCTCGCTCGCTCGTGCCACAACTGCAATCTGTTATTTCACCATCCCCCGGACTTGTGCGCGCTCACTTTCCGTTTCTTTTTCCGTTCTTTCATCCCTTACGCGCCACCGGTCTCTCTTCCTACTCTCTCTTTCTCGTCCCTGCTTTTGCAAGCCTTATCGATACCTCGGGAACGTGCCGCCGCATAAATCGAATTTGTCGGGCGGCCAAATCAATACTTGGCTGAAGATAACGCCAATTAAAAGAGAAAACCGCGGATTATTTTGTCGAGTACGACGGATAACGTTGACTCTATCGTGTTAGCTCAGAAGTGCATATCTCTTCTTTGATGTATTTATTATTACAGTCCAGTTTTTCTTTTCAATTGAAGAAAGTAACTGATTTGTTGTAACTATTTTCTTTTTAGTAAAATAATTTAGCAAGAGATGAAGAAAAAGGAAGAGAAAAATGTTCTAATGACCAAATATTTGTTAAGAAAATACTTAGATATCTCAAACAATTTTCAATGTTTTAAGTAGTTTTCAAGATCTTTCATTAGTTTCCAACCTTGCATATGTGCATAAATATTTGTTGCAAACCAAATTTATGTTTCTTTAACAAATGTCAGTGGTACTAGTCCGGTCGTTCACCTCATTAAAATCTTCGAGAGGAGACGCGAGTTAATGTACTTCACGACACAAATAGAATTATATACATCATCATCTTCTCCCCCCCTCCTCCTCTTCGGTCTCCGTTTCAAAAATTGCCTTTTTTCTCTCCCCGATCGCGATGAGTATAAATACGCATAAAGTGTAAATTAAACGACCGTCCTTTTTCGCATTTGAATTTCAATGCGAAAAGTACAAATAGCGCAAGGATCTTCGCACGATTGCTTCGCGATCGTTATTACTACGCGCAGTAGGAGATCGTTATTCAAGAATGGGAGAGCGGATGCCCGAGACGAGAGAAGTAGAAGTTTATTATACACTCCTGTGAAGAAAGGGACAGAGACAGGGAAACGGGTATCACTTCCGAGTTGTCTTCTTGCAATAGAACCGAAGAAGACGCGCCGCGCGCGGTTTCCAGCAGCGAGCCGAGCTCGCCTCGTTTTTTTGATGTTTAGGAGCCGATGCATGGCTAAACATTCATTTCCATATAAGCCGATATGTTTCAAATGTAAAGCGACGTCCGCGCGCAACACCGGAGAGGTGGAGAAAGAAAGGACGAGGTGGATGAACGAGGCGGAGGGATAACGGGGGAGGGGGGGACCCAGAGGGATGAAAAGGTAGAGAGGAGGAAGACCGCGCGCGCGCGCGGTGTGGAAGTGGCGAACTGGTACGAGCGGAAACTAGTTTAAGCCCGCGGGTTGTCTCAACCCTCCGACCGAGCCCTCGACAATGCCCTCCATGGGATCCACCGTGCTCCCGATTCCGTCCACTTTAACTGGCTCTGCCTGCCATCGACTCTCTCTCTCTCTCTCTCTCTCTCTCTCTCTCTCTCTTTCTCGCTCTCTCTTTTTCTTCTCTACGCCCGTAAGTAGCCCCCGCGAGTGTGAGAACCTACCGGAAGATGCCTAACCCCGTGAGCATGAGCCTCCGAGCCGCAAAACGCGCTCCGGTTGCTTCTCTTAGTTTTTAACCCCTTCGCGCTCGAATTTAATTGAAAGCAATTAAAATTTGTTTTATATAGCTTTTCGAATTTAGATACATTTTTTATTGATATATTTCGCTCTCATCATAAAGTGAACCAATGAACCGGGCAAATGTCGATGGCCGGACATTTATTAAAGAAATAATTTGCAACAGAAATCAACATTTAAAAACGTAACTTGAAAATACTTAAAAAACATTGAGAATTGTTACGTTTAATATTTTTTTCTTTTATCTATAATAATTATTTTTTTTAAGTGTCATTGGAACGTTCATCTTATTGATCTTATATTCTATAATTACGTTAAACATTCTACCGCGATTAAATATCAAGTACAATCGAAACGGTCGCTGAAGGGTATAGTTTAGACGGTTTTGTCAGTTTTGCGTGACAATTTAGAAAAAAAGTTCTCAGAATTACGTTTCATCGAGAAGTGTTCAGTGTTTGCGGTCTGTCGACAACCACTCGTTACCACGATACTCCGCAATTCAACACGTGTGCAATCATACGAGGTGGCATTACTCATCACATATGTCAGGCAATAGCGCGACCGCAATATCTGCACCGGCCGTGAAAAAAAAAAAAATAAATAAAACGTGGTGCATCCGTACAATAAGCGGTGCGCATTATTTCGTTCGTGCGTGCGAGCCGCTCGCTCGTGATGCGCTAGATGAACCAAATTGCAGCCCGAAACCGAAAATAAAAATATATATTACAGAACTGTATGAAAACACTTCTTTCCAATTGGTTCTTTTAAATATTTTGGAAATTATTTTTAAGTGTTCGGAAAAACTAATTTTCAAAATTCCAATTTAGATTTGAATGTGTAACAAACAAAAAGTTATTTTAGAAAGACTTGAAATAA